TTCAAGCTCTAGGAATGTTTCAGGCTACATAATTATTAAAAAAGGCATATTTTTTGCCTTGCTGAAAGGCTATAGAATAGTTCTATGATTAGACAAAATAATCTCCTGAATTGTAACTACCCCAAAACCTACATCTTGTATCTATAATTTGCTTTTTAATAAAATTTCTGAGTAAGCATCCTCTCCTTTTTTTATTCATGTCATTGAAACTTTTTTAATTACTGATTTGGAAAGAGTAAAACACTAGACTTGCTGCAGTACTGGCATTTTTAATTTTGTTATTTGAAGTAAGGAATGATGAACAAGTGAGACTAAAACAAGAATGGATTCTTCCTATGCAAATTAATGTTTCCAGTTTTCATCATGAATGGAAATGAAAGTCCCAAATTTTCAAAAGAATGATTTCTAAGTGAAACAGAAGAGATTTTCCAAAATCATCAGTGTCCTCCTTCTTATAGATCCGTAAACTCAGACAGATCCTATGACAGTTTGGATAAAAATATAAAATCTGTGAGCTTACCCCAGCTTTGCTGTTTACTGACAATTCTTTGTGGGGAACAATAAGAAAGTAAGGCTAACTCATCTTGTCGGCTGTCTTTGTGTGCACTAAATGGGAGGTAACTCACTCCCCAATTTTGAATAGGGAGCTGAAATGTGTAATTAATTAAAAGGAAGAAATTATACATGAAAAAATAGGCCCACATTGACTTAAATTCTTTATACTCCTTGAAATATATTGTGCATGTGTCATTCAGAAACAAACTATGTTTTTCATGCTGCTCTCTGTTGCACAGAATAAACTTGTGGAATAAAATGCAATAAAAACAGGAAATGTGTTTGAATATTCATAACTTAAAAAATAAACCTTTGAACTTCATCTTCATTAGTATTGAAGCTAATACTGTTCGTTAGCAATCATTTTTATTTGGTGCAAAATCATTAACAATTTCCACTTTTACAAGTTCTTAGCATTTTGAGTATAGTTTTATGTCTTCTTCATGTCATGTCTTTGTTTCAGTAGTTTGGTCAGTGTGCAGTAGGAGCAGATCAAACGACTTGTTTTGAAAATAAAACTTCATGAAATCTTTCATAGCTGCCTTTTATCAGCAATATGCTGAGGCTGGCTGTGCTTATTAAACTTATTGGCTTTTATGCATATGAAAGTTTCTTGGATGCTCGGGGATATTTGGGCCACATGGTCAGTGGTGACTTTACTGTTGCTGGACTTGGAGTTCCCTGTTGACAAAAGTTCATGTACAGTCATCCTTGCTCAAGTTTAAATTGGTTGCCCTGTGTGTGGTGTAGAGTGCTATGTGGCATAAACCAGAGTATCTCATGACTCACTTGGTTCATGTCACTGGGTGAAATATTTTGACTGCTGATTGCGTGAATATGTTTAATCACATTAAATTCTGGAACCGCATAAAAATAAAAAATAGGAAGCAGATGTTGTTTGCAATTGAATTAATTGCACCATTATTACCTAAAAGCTCCATAAATGCTCCTTACCTTTTTAAGGAAAGTAAATTGCATTACATGCGTGGATTTAGTATCTTTAAAACAATTTTTTAGTTCTAATCGCCTTCTAATTTGTAAGTCTATTGATTTCATTGCATATTGAGCTATTTGTTGTTAGAAGACAGTTCATGAAATAAAGGGACCATTGTAGGAAAAAAAATTTATCCAGTGCCTATTTTTCTGCCATAATAAAAAGTAAAAATAATAAATGTAATAAAATTCAAGATATAGCCAAAAACTCTTAAGAATTAACAGTTTACATCAAGGTTTGAATAACAACTCTGAATAGCAGTTATTCAGCAATTTTAATACACTACTCTAGTTTCAGTACGACGTAATGTTCCCTGTAATCTACTAACACACTGTTATTTTGCTCCTTCCCTAAAGATAATTCATTATTCTTTCATAATGTGCTGGCCACAATGTTCTGTTTATTTCAAAAATAATGACATATTGTGGAAATTAGGTTTGATTTCCAAATTCCTCACTCCTTCAAAAAGGCAAACTATGCAATTATCAGTAACTCTTCTAGTCCCAATCTAGTATCAAACCAAATTCTGAATTCTGATGAAAAGGCAGGGTTTTTTTCAGCAAAATATTTAATGATATGAAGAACTGTGAGCATGTGAACATTTATGGGGATGTGAGATTTTTGTATCTACTTAGATTGAATGGAGATACAAATATACTTAAATTCTTCCAGTGAATTCATGGTGTTTTCAAGTTTCCACAGTGGGGAAATTTGTATGTAAACCAACATTTTCATAACTTATTTATATCGTGTACCTGAAAATAAATATTTTGTAGGAGAAAAAAGGATTCTCAAACCACTAAAGGTTACATGCATCAGCAACAAAATTAACAAAGTAGTCATCTCCCCCAAATTACAGAGCTTGGTGAATCAAAGTGGGAGAGGACAAATTTAATTGATGTTCACAGGCTGCTTCTGATGACTGGCTGATGGCTGTCCTGCCTGCACAGGGTGACCACCGTTCCTTTGCCATGCTGATCTGCTCAGCAGCACATTCAGCTGTTATGCAACATGTTTCTCCTTCATCCTTTGGACTATTAATTTCTTTGCTTTCAGGGAAAAGCCAGGAGGCAAATCTGAAACTGAGATATGGGATAATATTGTTTGCTGCTCTTTGCAACATTGACTAAAATTCTTGTCTCTTGCTTGGGAGAAATGGTTATAGGGCAGTCTGTCTTGCAAAAGTAGTGTTTCCATCTCATGACCTAGATATGACTACTGTCACATCTCTTTAACTTCTCATAAGCATGATGTAAAGAATGCTTTCTAACTCTTCTTACATAAAAAAAAGTGAGAAAAGGAATGCTAGCACTTAAATTTTACAAACTTTTCAAAGGATTTGTAGGTGAAGACTCTTTAAAACCTACTTGAAATTTACAATGACTTTATCAATTACAGAAGGCCAAAGTCTTGTCTAAATAATATGAATGTACTAAATAAAGAAATTATTTATTTTTATGCTTCGAAGACTTTGCCTTTAAATGTGCTTAACAAAATCTTCTGATTTAATTTAAATCTCCTGCATTATGGTAAAAATAATAATATCTGTTTTAACCTTCATAGCATTGTAGTATGTCACACTTTTTCAACAATTGGATTGATGAAGGAAATTTTAGTGATTGACTTGTTTAACTTTGTCTTTCATAAAAAATTTTCAAGTGCTCACATTTGAACCTTCGGTAGCCACAAAAGGATTTTTTTACCAAGATGGCTTTTGTACAGTGCCAACTTATTATCTTTTGCGTGCAATCAATCACAGATATGTCAGATTAATGAGGATATTAGGATAGAGACAGAAGACACCATCTCTGGTATTACAACAAGTATGTAGAGCTAACTCTTCCAATCTCCATGCACAGCAGTTATGAAGAAGCTGCATTCTGTTTTGAATGATCACTCTCTGCAAAACTAGATATAGTTGGAATTTGGGAATGTGTGGGAATATTTTTCCTGCAAGTGCTTTTCAGAAAGGGTGGGTTTTAGGGTTTGATTGTTTTGAATAGCATTTAACTATTCCCTACAGCTAAAATATCCTGTTTATTTTCCTGGGTAGAGCAGGAAGAAAGCGTCTATTGTAAATCTTGAGAATTTTAATGAATTAGTTGTCATTGATGTAGTGCTACACTTTTAATTACAATGAAACTCAACCATATAAGACATCAGATCATCCTGTTGATATAATGACATTAAAATGCCCAATGACCTGCAAACGTTAGCACCTGTAGCAGCTGAATGAGTTTTAGGGTTGTCTAAGACTGAGGCAATGCTGCCGCCTAATGATGGGAGTATATAAGATGCAGTGTAGCAATGTTGCTTGTTTGGCAAGCAGGCAAGGCTTGTGACATCAATTGAAGACTATAAGTGAAATTAAAAGCAATAAAAAGAGGCCCATGGACTAGAATACATGATTTGATGGTGTGCCAAGACATTTATTTTGTTCAAAGCTAAAAGCAAAATAAAACCCCTGTAAATCACATCAAGTCTGTAAACATTTTGTTTTCTGTATATTAATGTCTGTTATGATTATAAAGAGAATGATTCTCCACTTTTTCCCTATTTTGAGGTTTTTTGTTTCATGTATTTCCTAATGCTTACCATTAAAATAGCTACATCATTATAATATCTATCTGAGAACTTTTATTATTCTCTGAAGAATCCTAATACAGATTTTCCCTAAATATTTTTATTTCAGAATAAGAAATTGCATTAATGTCTCAATACTACATTGATCTATGCATCACTGGCTTTCCTTATTTAGAACAGTTTAATGTAGTCTGGTGGCTGAGAAGAATATTAATGGTATTACTGTCAAGTTAATTCATAGACCCATAAAGTGCAATAACACTTGTGTAAGGCATCTGCCAATGTAATCTGTGACAGCTTGTACATCCAGCAGATCAAAACTGAATCTAGCCCTGCAATACCTGCTCCTTTCTCAATTCTTCTGGTGGATCATTCAGTTTTTGCTCTGTAGAGAAACATAAAGAAGCAGAGAACTCGCTCTTATTTCCTCACTTTTTATCTGTATTACCTTTTCAACTTGAAATGTTATTGAAAAGGCATAGAAAATCCAAAAATTTTTATTGATTTCCTCTGGCAAAGGAATTAATGGAAAATTGGTCAACCCTTGAAAAATTATAATTTGGCAAAAGGTAATAAACTGTAATTAAAGCATTATAAAGGCATTGATTGGTTAGCAGGCATCTCATTGAATTATTATAATTATATAAAAAGTTTGACTAGGGCAAAACATTTAATGCACTTAAAGCCTGTGGTAAAGTTTGTTCTGCCTTTTTTTAATGGAAATTCACATTTCTTTTGTATGTGTTCAAATTTTTCATATTCGATTTCTCTCAGCTGGGCTGACTTCCAGCAATCAGCATCTTCACAACGAGTTCCCATCAAAGCAACGGCCTGAGATCTAAATCTCCCTTCTGCTTCTTCCCAACAGGTGCAGGAGGTTGGTCTCCATCAGACAGTGATCATTACCAATGGCTGCAGGTGGATTTTGGGAACAGAAAGCAGATCAGTGCTATTGCAACCCAAGGCAGGTACAGCAGCTCCGACTGGGTCACTCAATATCGGATGCTCTACAGCGATACAGGGAGAAACTGGAAACCATACCACCAGGATGGAAACATCTGGGTGAGTAATTGCTGTGAAGTGGAGGTGTTGTTATGATAATATTGTCAGTTGGTTTTTTTTGGAGTTCTATGACTTGTAGAACCCTTCATTGTTTATATCAGGACAGAGCAGAGCTTCGCTCAAAACACGGTTATTTAGGATACAGCTGCTGTCAGGAGGGCTATGCCCAGATTAGTAAACCCATTTTGGGATGACAGTATTTAGCAGAATATGCAATTATTTTTTGGTTGCTGGTATTGCTCAATGGGTCTCTCATGCTTTGCTTCCTTTTTCCTTTCAACTAATTTTGTGGAGTGAGATGAAATAGTGGTTTTGAAAATTCTTTGGTTAAAATTTTTGAAGATAATTTCTTCTTGTGTATACATGTGCTAGAGAGCAATTTTATCATGTATGTAGTATTTTCCATGTAGGTGCTACAGGGATGTGTTTGTTTTAGCTGGGATGGAGAGCATTTTCTTCACTAGCTAATATGGGAATGTGTTTTGGATTCATGCTGGGAAGAGCATTGCTAATTCAGGGGTGATTTCTATACTGCTGAGCAGTGCTTGCACAGCCTGAAGGCCTTTTCTACTCCTCACCCTTCTGCAGCAAGCAGGCTGTGGGTGCAAAAGAAACTGTGAGGGAGGGACAGCCAGGATAGGATATGCCAGCTGACCACTGGGATATCCCTTACCACAAGGAATCACAACTCAATTTAATTCTGGGGGAAGGAGGAAGAGGGCATATTCATATTTGGAGTGATGATGTTTGTTGTCCCAGTTACATGTGATGGAGTCCTGTTTTCCTTGGGAATTGGCAGACAGCTGTCAGCCCATGGGAAGTGGTGGATGAGTTCATTTATGACTTTGCTTGATGCGGCTTTTGCTTTTACCCATGAAACTGGATGTATCTCAACCCATGAGTTTTCTCACTTTTCCTGTTCTCTCCCTCATGCCACCATGGGGGAGTGAGTGAACAGCTGTGTGGTGCTTAGCTGTTGGCTGGGGTTAAACCATGACAATGGGTATTTATGCTATAAGCATTTTAGGAAAAAAGCATATAATTTGGCTTTGTTTTTACATTTTTTTCCTATGGATAAACTGCTAATTTCATTCTTGCTGGAAACACTAGCCTTCCATTTTGCTGACAAAAAGATGATAGCTATTACTTAACATTCCTATACTCATAACATTTCTTTCAGATGGTATTCTTTCTCCAAAGTGTACTTTGAAAGCAGAAAAATGCTATTATTCTTTCTGAAACCAAATTAAGATATTAGTTATTATATAAAAGCAGATGAGATTTAACACAGTGATATTTTAGATTCACATTTTTGCCAGGTGCTTCTTTTATTAAGGTCTGCTATTAAAAATTAATGTAAAATATACAGCATAAGGTGAATGATTTTTTTCTGTATAAGAGAAACTCAGTTAATATGTGGAGAGTGTAGAAACAGTCATTTTTTATTACAGTATTGATTTATTGAAAAAATTTCTTCCATGTGCCAGATAGGATTCTGAAAGAGGGAGAATTTAAAGCTGGGGAGGTGGACAACCTTGAAGAGAAAAAATATTGAATTTTGTTTTGATTCCTTAGAACTTGGATATGAATATGATTCATCAGAATCTGGGACAACTTATGCTTAGCTTGATGAATATAAAAAATTCTCTTTTAAAGCCACTTACCATAAACACTAAATGCTATAAATATTCTTATATTCCTACTCTAAATGTATAAAAACTTCTACAACCACTACTGTTGAAATCACCAAGAATGGGAGAGAGCTTTGCAGCTGGCTGAGTGAATAATATATAAAGCAGAATACTTAAGCTGAGGAAAAATATGTTCTTAATAACTTTTAGTGATGCCTAGTTTGGTTGATTTAGTCACAGCTGTGATTGCTTGTTTGCAAAGCAGACCAGCTTTCCAAGTGAGGGCTTTGTAGCAAGTCTTTATTCTTATACTGTCACTTAATATAAAAATATTGATAGCTTCTTCATGCAAGAACATTTCATTTTTCTCTTTATTAGCACTTATGCATGCTTGGTGGATTTAGGGGAATACTACTGGTCTGTTATTGACCATTGACATCACTTGCAAAAGAGTGTGATGAGCCAGGCAGGTCTGCTGCTTTTATTTGGAATGCTCTCTTTGGATATATGTTAGCAAGCTGGTTGCTGCAGTACTGCTATTGTTCATGTCCTAAAATTTTTGTCCAATATTAGTAAAATAGATTAAAAAATAAATGCTACTCTATCTCTGCTTTCTTTTAAGAGTAAAAGTAGGCTGTTACCAAAAAATAAAAATGCCACAGTTATTGGCTCTACTTTGCCTAAAATGGTATTGCTTTGGTAGTTAAATGATGTCTCAGCTTTGGTTTTATATTGAAAACACTATTTATTCATTATTAATGAATATTCATCTAAATATGTTCCCAAAACAGGGGCAGTGCATGGAGAAATTCTGTGGTCCTATTGTAGTGGTATTGTTACAAGGAGACAGACCTTCCTGATGTGAAAACAGAATGGATGGAAAATCTGCACCAATCCTCCATCTAGTGTCAATTTGTACAAGAAATTAAAAGCAGTGGTAGTAGCTGTTAGGTCCAGACTAGACTACATAAGCCAAGTATCTATCATAGGCACTTTAAATTCATAAAATCAGATTGTTCCTGACTGAAATGACTGTGGTGATCTTAAATGTCTCATTCTGCTGGCCTTAAAAACTCTTTTAGAAAGAATTTATTCTTTACCTTTGCATTTGTATCTTTTAAGAGATTTATCCACAAGAGAAATACGCTATGCAGCCTTTGTTTAAAAACCCTCTTCCATCACCTCTACGACTGAATGTCATTGTTTTCTGACAACAGTAAATTTAAAATTAAAAGCAAAAACAAAAGAGCAAAAGAGAAGTGCAAAGTTCAACCATATTTAAGACTAAAGTAGTTATGATATCAATTGACACTGAGGATGTGATGTGAGAAACAAAGGGAAATAAAGCTAAATATATGAATTGGAGAGAGAGAAAAGGAGAAATAATTTGCAATAGGGATCTAGTCAGGAAAAAAATGTTATAATCTGCATAAAAGGCTGAAGTGAACTCCTCTGTATGTATTAGTCAGGGAGGAAAAGGAGTTCTATAATTACCTCCTAAGTAGGAGAGAAATCAAAAGGCTCTCAGGAAGTCTGTGATGGGGAAAGTGCTTTCAAGGTGAATTTAGAGTAAGCTTCCCAGTTCTGTGAAATAGATTTTGTGACCCCACCCCTCCTGGGCTTTTGGATATTTTCAATTTTCATGAATTTTAATAAGATGAGTGAATGTGGCCTCTTTCCATAAAATGCCTAGCAACTAGAGAATTTTGATCACCTCTCCTACCTTCACTGTTGTAGTCTGAGATTCTAATTTTGATAGGTCATGAGGTTTCCCTTTGTATGTCAATCCACTGGGGTGTTTCATGTACACAAAAAAAAACCTCTCCACTTTGTTTTGGTATAGATGCTCATTTTAATTTCTGTATCAATGCTATTTGCCTAATGAACGCATACCAGACATGATTCTGCATATAATACTGTTTCTATTTGCTAACTCAGCTATAGATGATATAAATATCTCACGTTAAGCATAATGCAAATATGCTCTATAGCTATAAGACATCTTCTGAAACATTGAGACTCGAATTTTATGCATCAGTGGCAGAGGCCCAGCCACTGATGGGCCTTAGAACTTGATATCAGCTCTCAGTCATCTCATCATTTTATCCTTGATGATATCAAAGTCACAGAATCAGAGAATAAGCTGGGTCGGAAGGGACCCACAAGGGTCATGGAGTCCAACTCCTGGCCCTGCACAGCACCATCCCCAAGAGCCACATCATGTGCCCAGGAATATTGTCCAAATGCTTCTTGAGCTCTGTGAGGGCTGGTTCTGTGACCTCTTCCCTGGGCAGCCTGTTCCAGTGCCTGACCACCTTTTTCTAATATCCAGCCTAAATCTACCCTGACACAACTTAATAACTATTAAGTCTATTCCCTGGGGTCCCGTCACTGGTCACCACAGAGCAGAGATCAGCATCTTCCCCTCACAACAAAGTTGTAGACTGCAATGAGGTCATCCCTCAGTCTTTTCTGTGCTAAACAGGCTGAGTGACTTCAACTGCTCCTCACAATGCTTCCCCTCAAGGCCCTTCACCATCTTACCTACTCTCCTTTGGACACTCTTTAATATCTTCATATCTCTCTTGTATTGTGGCACCCAAAACTGCCCCCAACACTGGAGGTGAGGCCTCCCCAGTGCAGAACAGAGCAGGACAATCCCCTCCCTTGCCTGGCTGGTGATGCTGTGCCTGATGTACCCATGACAGGCAAGGCCCTCCTGGCTGCCAGGGCACTGCTGGCTCACATTCAATTTGCCATTGACCAGAACCCTCAGGTCCTTTTCTGCAGTGCTGCTTTCTAGCATTTCATTGCCCAATCTGTCCACACATGCCAGGTTGTTCCATTCCAGGTACAAAATCCAGCACTTTCCTCTGATAAATTTCATATCGTTGATAATTTCTCAGCCCTCCAATTTGTCCAAGTCTCTCTCAGCAGGGCCTCTCTGCCTTCGTTGGAGTCAGCAGCTCCTCTCAGTTTTGTACCATCTGTGAACTTGCTTAGTGTCCCTTCTAGTCCTGCATCCAAGTCATTTATGAGGCTGTTGAAGAGCACAAGGCTAAGGATGAAGCCCTGCAGAACTCCACTTGAAATCCCACAGGTCATCAGTCTGATGTCACTCCATTCACTGAAACCCTTTATGCCCAACCCATAAGCCAGTTGCTCGCCTGTCACATAATGTGTTTATCCAGCTGTGGACTACACATTTTGTCCAGAGGCATACCAGAAAGTATCAAAAGTTTTACAGAAAATCCAAAAATATTGTGGCAGTTATGAGTAAAAATAAAAGGGAAAGGTGGAGTGTAGACTCTCTGCACATGACCTCCAAATTATATTCTGCACCTGATTCTTATCTTCAGCATCAGTGGA